TACAAACTTACTAGATGACAGTTGGCCTATTTGTTCTTTATACTGCTGGACATCAGCAACTGAAAAAGGGACCTGCACTGAAGTATTCTCTCCCACCTCTGAGACTTCTCTTAGTGGCAAGATAAGTTCTGAATTAGAGTTGTAAGAAGCACTACTTCAGGTTTAACCTGCAGGGCTTAAAGCTGTCTAAGATGCATGATGAGGGGCTAAAGAATGCTGGGCTCCCCTGGGGCACTAGGCTCTAATGGAGTTCCTGAGTCACTGGGAGGGGATGAACTTGATTTATTGGCCTGGGGACTATAAGGAAGAGGTCAAGGAAACCTCTCAGGCCCATCAAACAGATGGAACCCACATTCCTCTGAGAGATAAGTGGGGGTTTCAGGACAGGGTCATCCAGAATATCTTTCTCTTCCTTGGGGACCACTCTAAACACCTTAGTTCCTGAGCATTCCCTTTGATAGAAGGTCATAAAGGACTGATCATAAGGCATTTCATTCCACCTTGTATGTTTTAGGCAGAAATGCTGTAACTAGAGAATAATATTATGATTTAAAGCGCCATCCATACACATCTCTCACCACCTCCCAATTTGTACTGAAACCAAACCATAAACAGGGTCAAACCTTTCTCACTTGTCAAGAATATAGCCTAGTGGCAATGTCAGTGAAATCCACATGGTGGCAAAGTCCTACAGGTTTCCTATTGGCTTGGCTTGAGCCTATAGAGAGAAGGAGATAACTGGGTCTTGACTCCTAGGATGGTATCCCATGCAGAAGGAAGACACCCAAGAGTTTCACAAGACCTCCCTTGTGAGACCCTAACATAGACTAGGCAGACAGATGTCTCTAAGTGATGTCAACATCATTAAACACAGAAGAAAGCCCCCTGGCAGCTTTTGTCTCTATATTTGGACCCATTAACTCATTACGGAGAAAGGGGCAAAGCCACTGATTGGCCTTACCTTGTCCTTTAACTCCCATGAAGTAAGGGTGGAACTGTGCCAAACAAAGTTCCCCCAGTCACTTAGTGGAGCCTCTTGATGGTCCAACTTGTATTCCAAATCCTCTGATGACTACTTAACGAGAATGGAGCCAATTATGTAAACTGTCTATTGTATTTGCTCCAATAGTAAAATGGCTAAGAACAGGGATGGCTCTGCTCTTGTATACACAAAGACTCTTAAATTTTATAAGCTGTCCATTTGTTCCACTCAGGTCATCAGGCATAGGATTTTATATTGTCTGCACTTAAGGGAGAAATTCAGCTGGGAGGCTATAGCCTCAAGAGAGATTTAAAACCTAGAAGAAATGGGTAAACCAAAGCTGGCTTGAACAGGCCCTCCCTCCGCACTGCCTCTCACAAATCCTAGGCATTTCTTTTCAAAATGAACAACTTTTTCTCTTCCACAGAAGAGAGCCACAGTGTCAATTAAAATAATTTTTTAAAAAAGAGGTTCCTCTCTCTTTTTCTTCAAAATCAGAGACTTAGTTCATAAGTTAGGGAGAAAGGAAGGAAGGAAGGAAGGAAGGAAGGAAGGAAGGAAGGAAGGAAGGGAGGGAGGGAGGGAGGGAGGGAGGGAGGAAGAGAGACGGTAGCAGTTGACATAAGTGAGTGTTTCGCTAAATAATCCCATGCATGCTCTAAGGGTGCTCAGGGTGTGGCATGCTTAAACCTAGGATCACACAAAAACACAAGCCAAGAAAAAAAATATTTACAAAACCAGGGTAAGCAGAGGCCAGGTTAATTTCAAAGAGTGTGTGTTAGGGAGAGGTAAACAAAGACAACACAAACCAATAAATACAAGCCATTCACAAAACTGGGGTAAGCAAGGACCAGGTTAATTGCCAGAAAGAGTAGCAAAGTAAACAAACAAACATGCAGACAAGGACCTGAAAAATGAGTACAAAGCAGCTAGATAGAGAAAAGCCCACATTCCCTTCCCCTATCCATATGGCCAGGACTGGAAGCCCCAGTACCTTGAGAAGAGTCTCTCAATTCCCAGCTTAGGGGAAAGCATGAAGGAAAGAAAGAAGCAAAAAAATCCTCTCAGAAAGAAGCAAAAGTTGTGCACAACATGAGTCTTACCTTGCTCTCCAGTACCTGAGCTTTAGTCATGAATGGCTACACCAAAATGTAATCCGGTAGCTCCTTCTCAAAGTGGCTTGTGAAGTAAACATTACTGAAGCCAGGTGTTGTGGTGCACACCTGTAATCTCAGCACTGTGGAGGCTAAGGTAGGAGGATCGCCATAAATTCAAGGCCAGCTTGGCCTATATAGTGAGTCCAAGGCCCACCCGAACTACCTAGCAAGACCCTGTCTCAAAAAAGAGTGTTACTGAGTTTAGGGTTGCTCATCTCTCCTTCCAGGTTCTTATCATCTCAAAGAATTGAAATAAATGACCAAAAGGCAGTAGCAAAGTTTAAGTAAAAGTGAAGAGTGAAAAACTGGCTCTGCAGAGTGGCCCAAATAAAAGAGGAAAGAGCAAGATAAATGGCATATCCTGGAGGACACAGGATTTGCTATCATGAGGAAGCCATCATAGCAAGCTCTTTTTGGTGTCTGTGTCCTATTTTTATATTGTCTAAATCTCAAGGAAACCCTTGAGAATGTCTACATATGGCTCCCGAGAGGGAGTGCTGGGATCCCAGATTCAGGCTGAGGTCAGATCTAGGCCATTTTATTGAAAACCTGCTCAAGTTCTCACAAGTCCACATTGCAGAGATTTGAAAATTGTTCTGCACATGTGTTCTGAGATCTCGTAATTAATAGGGCTTACCTATTTCCCCTGCCACCTTTGTCACACCTAATCTCCTACCTCTCTTCAGTTTAAAACTAAAAAACTTTTTGGACAACCAATCTTGCAAAGAATTTTAAAAAAAAGAGCAGTTAACTTCCTTTCTTAAAATTAATACTATTTTGGGCCAGGGATTTAGCTCAGTGGTACTGCTGCCTGCCTTGCAAGACCAAGGTCCCAAGTTCAATCCCCATTACAAACAAATAAACAAACATACAAACACATTATTTTAACCTTGGTTATGAATTTGCACTTTATAAGACAAATATGTAAGACAAATATAATGAGCTTTGTCAATTAAATGGTTTCATAAAAATCATACATAATTTTTCAAAAGGTAAGCTCTTCATGTGTAATTTAAATAAAGGTTAGTATTTACTTCAGTTAATATTATTTTGTATATTAAAATGTATTAATGGTGTTAAATAGAAATCAACTAAAGCTATAGGACAAAGCAATATTAGTGAAATTATAGCCTAAGATACAATTTACGGGAGACCTCAAAAGTACTACTTTTTTACTGAGTGGTATGTAGATAATTATTATTGTATTGATCTGTTCATTTTATGATCACTTTAATGTGCCTATAAATGTATTCTAATTTTGTCATTTGGAATTAAAAATACATTTTTTCTTTAATATGAAACCTGTGCCCTTTTTATTTTTGGCCTAGTAATTTAATTCTGGTTAGAATATGAAAGAGTCACATGGATTTTATTTTCAAATGAAATGAGATAATGTACTTTCTTGTTCTTGTTGCATCTTAAAAGATTCTTTTGCACAAGTGTAAGAAGGTGAAGATGGCAGCCTTGCTATCTTGCTTGAAAAATTGACATAGTTTCAGTTTAATTATTATGATTCTACTTTCAAGGACTAAAGATCTATAACCAAGTTGCTCATGGGTCACCTTTGGTCATGCTACATCATCTATTGTAGAACTTCAAGTGGCCACTTTTGGAACCTTAGTGTTTCATAGAACCCCACTTGAGAAACTCTGCTTTAAGGACTTGGATAATGAATACTAGGATAATGTGAGCCTCTGTACATAATTATCAATATAATTATGTATCTTTTACAACTTACAACTATATATCACCTCATGTTGTTCAAAAGGTATGTTATCCATTAGGATACACTGCCTATACCGTTAGGAAATGCTAAAGGACAAATAATATGTTTAAAAGAGGAATATGGGTATGCCAAATGAAACCAATTACAGCAAAATTCAGTGAGACAGAAAGTTCTATAATCAATAGAACTAACTGACATAAGCAAAGCACTTTTGATAAAAATAGACCTAAAGTCAGGAGTCAGGCATATGGGTGAATTGTAGAGGCCTTGAGCTAAGGAAGAAAATGGTTTTGAAAATCTCCTAAGATTTTGAAGAAGGAATGTAGCTGATGAAATTGATCAAGAAAATAAATTGAAGGATGGGAAGAATTTAGAAGCAGGCGAGTACAGACATTGTAGTAATTCATGCAAATGGGAGTGAGACCAAGACAAGGATGGTGGTGAAAGAAATGAAAAAATGAGATAGGCATGAGACACATGATTTTAGAGTTAATGATATCTCAGATCAACCCAACAATGAGCAAATTTTTAGTGATGATTATGATATATCTATTCTCAGAAATATTAGAAGTTTATACTTAGTGACATTTTGGAAGTCCTGATAGGCTGAATTATTTTCTAAGACTGACTAGTCAGTCATCTTTCCTGGCTTTGTACTCTGATACTCTTACTGTTATGGCATGCAGAAGTATAGACCCAATGGTCTCAGATTGTCTCATTTTTTCCAGAAAAGTTCGAAATCTAGTTACTCTGTGGAGTCTTCTCATATTAAACATCAGTAGTTAAATTTTTGTTAACAAATAAATTGCATTGTGGATGTGATATGATTGCCAACTCACATTTGTCTGGAGTTCTGTGTACTGCCTTTAAAAAAAAAAAAAGCACTAGGAATCAAACACAGTGCTTTGTGCCTGATAAGGAAGCACACTATCAATGAGCTATACCTCCAACACCTTATGTGCTTCTTTCTAAAATCGCCTTGAATTGCATCCTAGACCAAAAGATGAGCCCTCTTTGAATCCTGTGTGACTGTGTTAGCAGGAAGTTTATAGAAAGACTTTTTATAGTAGCTACTATTTTCTCTTTGCACCAACCTTGATTTAAAAATTAAAAGCTTTTCTCTGCTTCTTCCCAGCCAGGTCTCTAGATAAACTTTATAACTTTGCTGATTGCTCTGGACTCCACCTGATATTTGCTCTAAATGCACTGCGTCGTAATCCCAATAACTCCTGGAACAGTTCTAGTGCTCTGAGTCTGTTGAAGTACAGTGCCAGCAAAAAGTACAACATATCTTGGGAACTGGGAAATGGTAAGTAAGGATGTTATTTCCTCTAAATTCACAAGATAAGGGGGAAGGGTAAAATGGCTTGGGATAGTCTAGTCCCTAGTTAGGTTAATTTGAGTTTCATTTTCTTGTGAAAATTCTTTTTCAATGACCTCATTATTAGTGTAGCAGAATACAAAATAAACATACAGTAATCAATAACATTGCTATGAAGTTGGTTATTAATTCTACGAGTCTTTTGATGGTGTTTTTGGGTCTTGTCAGTAAAACACCATGCCATCTGAAAGTAATAATACTTTGACTTCATCATTTTCTGTACATATCCCTTTTCTTTCTTTCTCTTGCCTTACTTCTCTGGCTAATATTGCAAGGACTATGTGAAAAGGAAGACTTTCATTTTTACCCATATAATATGTTATTGGCAGTAGGATGGTAAAAAATGGCTTTTGTTAGATTGAGACAAGGTCCATCTAAGCCTATTTTCTTCAGGTTTTTTTTTTTTAAACTATGAATGGATGGTGGACTTTTGTCAAAGGCTTTTTCTGCAACTAGCGAGATAATCATGTGATTTTTGTCCTTGCTTCAGTAATTCATCAATAATTGATGATGAATTACATTTATTGATTTGTACACTTTGAACCATTCTTTTTTAAAATTAATTTTATTGGTACAGAAATTTTCACAAGAAAATGAAGCATAAATTAACCTAACTAGAGAAGTGAAATACCTCTACCATGAGTATTATCTTACTCTGAAAAAAAAAACCAAATTGAGGAGGATATTAGAAATAGAAAAGTATCTTCTGCTCCATGATTGGCAAAATAAATATAATAAAAATTCCTATATTTCCAAAATTGATAAGGTATCTCTCATTAATTGATCATCGATCACAGCCCTGTCCTCTGGATCTAACACTCTGTCTTCCCTTGGGTGGCTTCTGCTATTCATACTTCCAATATTGTTAATCCCCTGGATTTCTATTTGGAACTTTTAAAATGGACTCCTATTGTTTTCTATGCTGTGCATTCATGTTCTCATCTCATTCTCTAGCTCTACTCGATTTTTATTAGTGTCTTCTCTAGATTCACTGGTACTTTGTTTCCTTTCGGTCATTATGTGATTAGTGATGTCTGCTTTAAATTCACCAAGCACTTTACTGACTGAATTGTTTTACCTCCATTGATACTCTTAGATCTTTCTGCTGTGTAGCTTATGATTTCCTTCTCTGGAGGCCCCTGAACCTATTTTGGGGGAGTTGGGAGTTTTTTGAGGCATTTTGTTCCCTTGTTTTTTCAGGTCTCCCTCTCCCTCTCGGTCTCCCTCTCCCTCTTCCTCTCCCTCTTCCTCCCTCTCTCCGTGTGTGTGTGTGTGTGTCTGTGTGTGTGTGTGTCTGTGTGTGTGCACACATGTGTATGTGCATGCATGCACATGTGTATTTTGTGCTGAAGTTTGCTGCTGCTTTGTCCCAGTGAATTGTTCTTGAGCATGGGCCACAGTGTTGCTTATGACTCCCAGGCAATCCAGATATCAGCATAAGAGAATACCAATTGACAGCAACTGCTATGGCACTTTGGTGATAGTGATAAAGTGAACCACCACATTGGATTCATATCAATTAGATATTGACAAAGAACTACTCATGAACTGCCCTTAACTAGAACAAAGAAGTCTAGGATTTTAGTGAAGACACTTAGGCCAACCATATATTGACCTATAGTAATTCAGACTACTAGTTTCTGCTGGATGTAGCCAGTGGTGCAAGAAGTCAAGCATACAACTGGACTAAATGCCTTCTCCTCCAGGTTCACCATCTCTGAAAATTACACCCACAAAAAATACAGGTCCCATGATCTTCTTGGCCTGATCCTGGGCCTTCTAGAGTATTCCAGGAGGATTCTCCAAACCTGTCTCGTAAGGTTGTCTCTTACCTGAAGTCTAGTACGGTAATACCTCAGTCCCGTAGTGAAACTCTATTCCCAGGTGTTCTGCTCTTCTGCCATAAGTTCATTCTTTTGTCACCTCTTCTGTCCTCTGCCATATAGAACCCAAGAGCAGAGCCGGCTAGGATTTGATGGCCCATTCTCTTGATATCTGGCTTGGCAAGAGTCAACAGAGGGCAGAGCCTTGCAAGTCCTCTCTCCTTCTGACACCCACATGGATTGTACAAGCCTTGAGGGGTGCTCTGTCCTTCTCCTTTCTGTGTGGGTCAGTGTACAGTGTCTGGATGGGCAGCAGCATTGGCAGGAAGGGTGTGTAGGTCTTCTGTCCTTCTGCCTCTGCATGTTGACGTGTGAGGCCTGGGAAGGCAGTGGTGGCAGCGGGGGCGGTGCAGATCCTCTGTCCCACTGCCTTCTGAGTGAGTTGCTGTGTGGTCCCCAGGTAGGCAGTAGCAGGGGAAAGTAATTTTGGAGAGAGAGTGAAGAGTGCAGGAACTGGGTAATAAATGGCCTCACTTTGGTCTTGCTTCATTTGTTTCCTTTGCAAAATACTGGTATGTAACTGAAATTGTTTTGTGAAAATCCCCAACTAGTTATGCTAAGCCTACAGCAATTAAAACTTACCTATGAGGGACTGATGGAGACAATTCCTCTAGAGTTTTTGAAATTTCTGAGTGTGTAAGAATGTTTAATTAAATCTCTTCCATTGTTATAACTAGTGATTTGGTAGCAGGGTTTTGTACATAGGTATATCTCTTCCACACAATAAAAAGCTTACCCTTCCCCATCCACCTCTTTCCTTTAGCTATGCTAAATAGCACAGAGATGGAACTAATTACCTTAAATCAGTGTGATTTAGTCATTTTAGCTGCAGGACACTTGATGTCCTTAATCAAGGACATCACTGACACTTGATAAGCCTATCATCTTATTAAATTAATTTTCAAGACAAAAAAAACAAAGAATCATTTATGAGGAGGAAAAAGGCATGTAACAGATAATACAATAAGAAATAGGTAAGAATAGACAGGAAAATAGCCAAATCTATGAATTTTAAAATGTGGACAGTATCTAGTAATGTTTTTATGATCATTCTATAGGTAATTTAAAAATATCTAGTATACAGTTTTTTTTCTTCCCTCTATTCCTTTAAAAGGGTCATTTCAATTTTTTGTAATGACTTTAAAAAATGATCAGTATACCTCAACTTAACTCTTGGGGATTGAAGTTTTTATTTTTCTGTTTCCCCTAATTTGTTTCATAGCTACCAATACAGTAGTTTTTCTTGCATTAGAATCTTCCTTTAGACAAACAGCATATTCTGCTCACAATTATCCTGTGTTGTATATTCAGCCCCTTTCCTGAATTATTATGTGCATGGCCATTGTCTGCATTGCTGTTCTTCTGGCCTAGACTTGTTTCTGTTTAAAAAATTTATTTTATTAGCACATTTTAGATATACATAATGATAACATTAATCATATGGAATTTGTTCCTGTACATGATAGATCTTAACTCTTTTTTCCCTTTCTCCTCTCTTCAACCCTTCACTCCTTATTAAACTTACTTACAGCGTTTTAAAAAATTTTTCCTTCTATTCTCTTTTTTTCTTCCTCTCTCATTCCTTTCCCGCTCCCCCTCCTTAGTTCCTCTTCCTATTTCCACATTTTCTGTTTCACAATATTATACATTTTGGTCCTTATTTACATTTCTGATTTCTTACAACAGAGAGACAATGCAATATTTACATGTGCGTCTGACATACTTCACCAAAGAGTATGGATATAAATAAGGGACATCCATTTACCAAGAACTGTCTGAAGTTTATCCTTCTTTATGGCACAGCATTACTCCATTGTATAAATCTTTATCCATTCATCAGTTGATGGATGTTTTGACTGTTTCCAAAATTTAGCAATTACAAACTGTGCTGCTCTAAACATGGGTGTACATATATTGCTATGGTGTGATGCTTTTAATTCTTTCAGGAAGATACCAAAGAGAATAGCTGAGTCAAATGAAGCTTCCAGTTTTAGTCTTTGAAGAACCTCCACAGATTTCCATAGTAGTTGCACCAGTCTACACTCACACTAAGAGTAGAGAAAGATCCCCACAGCCCCACCAACATTTGTTATTGGGTGATTTTTT